GCAGGGAGGAATGTCCCTGGTGCAGTGAAGAACGGGGGAAGGACACGGATGACACAGATGGGACCCTCCATGGTCTAACAGCCAATAGCGAAAGAAGTCAGAGATTTGCTACAAAGATTAAAAACTTAGTTTGGCCCCCAGGCAACCATCACTGGCAGTGATTACCACACCTCTGCACTACTCCTCCTCAGCACCTCCAGTCCCTCCCTACAAATACCCCAAACCATGCTCAGGGCCTAGAAGCCTGTGCTCAATCTCATTGTTTCCCACCTCTGTACTCACATTTGTATATGCTGTCACTGCTCCCTGAAATCCCCACTCTTTCCTTCTTTACCTTGGAACTCCTACTTACCCTTTAAGACTCAGTTCAGATGTCACCTCCTCCGGGAAGCCATCAGAGGTCCCTAGTCTGACCTGGGTACTCCTCTAAGTCCACATCACACCTCTGCACTCTATACTGGCATCTGGTCACACATCTCTTTCCTCAAAAATAATTAACGAAGGACACACACCAAGCCTTATTTAGTTTTATATCCCTGGCAGCTAGTACAAAGCTTCACATACAGGTGACACTCTAGGCTCTGGTTGATTGAATGAATGAACCAGGAAATGAGCCTATTCCCACTCAGGTAAGCGGTCATAATAAGAGGAGATGATCATTATAGGGAGAATAATTAGTAAGTGCTACCCCCAGATATGAGGACTCTGCCAATATCTATCCAAATTATACAGTAGCTCTCATATATTGGGCACCTGCAGCTATGCAGGCGTGAGCCAGCCCCTGCACACATGTGGTCTTTGTCCAGCAGCGTGAGGCAGGCATTATCACCAGAGGTGTGAGAGTGAAGCGCCCTCCCAGGCGCACATCTAGGAGGGAACAGAGCCAAAAGTCTGTGCTAGGTCCGCCCGACACCTTCGCTTGAGCCGGGCCTCCTCCCAGAGAGGATCACTGCTCCTTGTTTTTGCAGCACATCCTGATAGGCCTCTCTGTCTGTCCCTGTTCCCAACTTCTTGGTCCCTCTCTGGAGGCTCCAGTCCCAGCTAGCTCCACTCCCAGGATGACCCAGGAGGGCCAGAGTGTGTGTGCTGGTGGTGCAGGTGCCAGAGGAGGTCCAGGGCTTGGGCCAGGCAAACAACATGGGCATTCAGAAGCAAGAGCTGCTTTGACTGGCAGTGGAGTGATTAACCCTTGCACAACTGTAACAAACAGAGGAGCTGCAAGTAAACATATCCCCAATGGACCAATTGGCAGACACACCTCTTTACAATACTCTTCTCTCCCCTGCCAAGTTTATTTCCAGACAGGAGACTAGCTAGATGGAATGAGACTTCGGGGACAGCTGGCACATCCCCCCAAAAGGCATCCCCTGAAGTCATATTCTTCACCTGTTGCACAGTTCTCTTAGGGCTTGGTAAGCATGGGGATGTGGGGGAGTGTTTTGTATGTAGCTCTCCATTCTCTGTCTCTAACACAAAAAGTAATAAATGCCCAGAAACTGCCCAGGCATTTCCTTAGTAGAGATGCCTGCCACTGGTGTTCCCTGGAGAAATTAAGCCAAGAGTCTTGGCGCGGGTCTTCCAGGACAACAAGTCTTGGGGGTACCTGGTGAAGGGGTTCATTCTCCAGGCCTTTCCTCAACACTTATGTGTCAGCCTCTGTGCTGGAGAGGTTGGGGAAATCATATGTGACTCCGGACGGGGTCTAGAGTGGGGAACAGTCACGGACCAGTAGGTGTGAAGACTGACACCTAAAGGAGGTGATAGGGGGGCAGAAAGGAAGAAGGCATCAGTTGCTGGTTGATGAGAGGAGGAGAGTGTGGCAGTCAGGACAGGCTCCAAAGCAGAAGAAACCCCAGGTCTGGATGCTGAAGGATGAGTAGTGTCCTGCGGCAGACAAAGCAGTGTGTGTGTGTGGTTGTGTGCAGGGAGAGGGGGCATAGAGGGCAGGGAGCACTTATAGCAGCAGAAGAAGGCAGAGTGGCTTGGGGAGCGGTGGTTCAGCTGTTGTAAGCTGTTTGCAGAACTTAAGGATGTGGTACCAGAGTGGACAGGAGGTGAGGCAGGGCATAGGTGCAGAGTCTGAGGGCAAGGGGTCTACTGAGGGGTTTTAAGAAGGGGGATGACATGCTTCAGGTGGAACTTTAGAACTACTCTGGCTATAGCATAGGGAATGGATGAAAAGAGGAGCGGCAATGAGCTGGAGGCGAACAGACCAATTAGGAGATGGATGTCATTTAAAGGCAACATTTTTATAGGAGCCAGCACAGTTTTAAGAGCTCCTCCCTCATTATACGCATGCATATACACATCTGTCTATCTATCGATTGATCCATCCATCCATCCATTTACACACAACAAATATGGTGCATTTGTTACCTCCACTAGATGGAGTAGGAAACTAAAGAACAGAGAGGCTAAGCTACTTGCCCGGAGGGCACACAGTAAGTGGTGGTCTCAGGATTTGAATCATCAGGGTGGCTTGAGCATTCATGGTCTTACCCACTGCACTATGGTGCCACTCCACCAAAGATGACAAAGATCTGAGTCAGGTTGGTGTAATTAGAGGAAAATATTCCTGATGGCCTGCGCTGTATTTGATGCTCTTCTGAAATAGCTTCCAGCTTCCATGGATAAAGGGATATGGCCTTTAATTCTGAGGTCTTTGGTAAAAAAACAAAACAAAACAAAACAAAAAAAACCCTACAGCATGAAATGTTAAGGGGCTGGAAAGTTAAGGGGCAGGGTCATGAAAGGAAGCCACTGGGGGGGGGGGGGTCACTTGAGTCCCTAGGGAACACATATTTGGGGAAGGGAGGTATTTCTTTTGTTTATGTGTGTGTATGTGTTTGTGTGTGTGTGTGTGTGTGTGTGTGTGTGTGTGTGTGTATCTGCAAGCTCTCCAGCTGAAGGAAGACAGGGTGCAGGTGAGTAAGAGGAGGGTGTACCTCAGTGGGAAGGGTCCAGGTTGCTTCAACTCATGGCCATACCTGCTGGGGAGACTGAGGCCAGGTGGTTCCTGAAGGTGCTGTATGTTTGGAGGTGGAGGTGGGTTAGGCACCTGTATCATGTGCCCAAGGCTATGACTGCACCCCCTGAGGCAACTCCCCTTTCCACTCTCCCAATCACACTCTAAGGAGGAATGGGAGCTGGCAGGGGTTAGGGAGGGCAAGAGTCCTACACAGGGATCTTCTAATAGCAAAGAGGCTCCGGCTCAGAGAAGAAGGCTACATGTGGTTTCTGTGTAATACAGCTGATGCTATGCAAAGTTGGACTTCCAACCTACTGGCTCTGAGCTTCGAACAGCATTGTGGAACCTCCTCTTCCTCATCTATAAAACGGGAATAAAACTAAACGCATTGCTAACGCAGCATTGCGTGAATGTCAAAAGTGAATAGTGGCTGTTAGCCGGCAGTGCTGCACACTTTGTATAGCCATCATCAGATGTGCACGATTCTATTTGGCGGGCTGTGTTGCTGATAGCTGAATATAAATTGAACTTCAGTCTCATGTTAGTGGCTGCTAGTTAGTGGTCAGCCAAACAACAAACAAGGCATCGCTAGTCTCATTCCTTCATCTCTGTAGAACTTGGCGTTGCATTTGAAGTCTGAAAGGAGTCACTTAGAAGCACATAGGTAGCAGCATGTGTTTGCTGAAGTAGGCAGAGGAGCCACTGGGTAGGGATTCCTCAAAGGCAGGCTGAAAAGCCCAGGACACAAGGGATATTTGGGGAATGGGTAAGTCAGGGCTGCTCTACATAAGGCAAAGCAAGGAGAGCAAGACCGAAGCCCAGGGTCACCATCCTTGACAAGGACTAGCCCAATTAGCCAATCGGAGGCCTGGCATGACTGGCATCTGAGCCCACACCTGTTGGAACGATGGTATCTCTTCACCATCACAGGAAAAGCGCTGTCAGATACAAGGCTGTCAGGAGTGAGGCAAAGGGGCTGGTAAAATCATCACCAGAGCATTACAGATAAGCACAAACCTTCCCCGCTCTAGTGGAAAAACCCAAACCCACCTAAGGGGCATTTACACACGAATGACTGGACAGGCTTGTGCCACGCTGGGGTTTGGCACCAGAACTCCTCCACGGCAGACCGCACGAGGCAGATACCTTCTGTCTGACAGCTGCATTATCCAGACCCACAGCGTGGGGGAACCAGCACAGCAAATGGTTTACAAACCCCGAACACAGCTTCTCCTGGCCCCTGCTGTTCACATCAATATCTCTATGAGGCTGCTTTCCCCACTGCAGGGTGGTGGCTTCTCTAGAGCCGGACCCATACTCACTCACTCCGTGAGGTCAAAGACCCCACTGACGCCCACCACTGCAATTCCCCCTGGATGCCTAAGACAGAGCTTTTACAACGCACCGGAAGAGGCTGCAGAGTACCCCCACCTAACTGGCTCGTTTCGGTGTTGGTTAATATTCTGGGCGTTTCCTCCAAAGTCTCCCTAGATTCCAATGTTTTGGAACTCAGGCATAAGCTGCTTAGAGCAGTGCGATTCTGCTGATGGCCCATTTCTGAAGAGCTTCCTGCTGGTTTTCCCAAAGACCACAAACCCAGAAGTAAAACACGCATCCCTCTCGTCCCATCCCTTCACCCGAGACACAGGGCAGGTGCCTGGGGTCCTGTGCACCTGCGGGGGGCGGGGGGGGGTCCGGGACGAAGAGGTCTCGCATTCACAAGAGGGGACCAGAAGGAGCAGAGCTGAGGGTCTGGGGGCTGACGAAGGCGAGAGCCGGACAGGTGAGCGAGGTCACGCCTCCTACAGTTACGTCCAACTTGCCACGACCTGGAGGACGAGCGAGGCTCGGGGGACCTAAGAGTGGGTTCGGCCTCGGCCTCGGCCTCGGCCTCGGCATCCCGGAATGATGTCACCGCAAGCGGCCGGGTGTGCTACCCTGGGGGGTGGGGAGGGCCTACTGAGTCTGGAGCGCGGGGCGGGGGGGGGGGGCGGGGAGCGGAGGGAGCGGGTCCGCGCGGAGGGCGACTCACGGAGGAGAAGTTGTGCGGGCCGCAGAGCTCGCCGCGGTACTTGCAGGAGAGCAGCATGTCCTCCAGCTGGTGGCCCAGGCGGTCCATGAAGGCGGCGCTGATGCCCTCGAAGTGGCGCGGCGGCAGGAAGAGGCGGAAGTCGGCCAGCTTGCGGAACCACTGGCGGCGCGGCTCGTCGCCCCGCAGCAGCTCGCTGACCAGCGGGCGCGCGGTGCGGTTGGGCAGCAGCAGCCCGAGCCAGTGGCCGGCGTAGTAGAGGTCCCCCTTGGAGAGGCGCGGGAAGCGCAGCGGGTTGTTGTTGCACACGGTGACGGCGGGGAAGGGCAGCTGGCGGCTCCACTCGCGGTGCACCCGCGTGTGCGACGGGAAGCTGAGCCAGTAGAGCAGGCGGTTCGAGGACCAGGACAGCAGCAAGCCGAGGGACGTGCAGAAGGCCAGCACCCACAGCGCGCGCCGCTGGAAGGAGCCCCCCGCCGCCGTGCGCCCGGCGCACATGTGCCGCAGCCCGTGCAGCTTAGCGCGGCTCAGCGACGGCCGCCCCCTGCGGGCGACCCCCGGCCCCGGCAGCGCCCGCTCGCGCGCGCCGCCCCGGTCGCCCCCGGGCTGCCCCGCCGCCGCCACGGCCGCCGGCGCCGGCTCCTCGCGGGCCATGCGGAAGCGTCCCGGGCCGGTGAGCGCGGCCGCGGGCAGCCGGGCTGCGCCGCTCCGGCTCATTCATTCAGCCCGCGGCTGGCGGCAGCGGCGGCGGCCCCGGCCGGGCGGAGCCGCCATGGGAGTCCGCAACAGCAGTGGAAGCAGCAGCAGCAGCAGCAGCAGCGGCGGCGGCCGCCGCGCGCAGCCCGCGCCAGGGAAGCGTACGCCCGAAAGGAGCTCCGGTGGCGCGGCATGCCCGCCCGCCCGCCGCCGCCGCCGCCGCCTCCGCGGGCGCCCGCCCGGGACCGAGCGCCGCCTGGGCCCGCCGGCCCTGGCCCTGGCGTCTGCCGAGCGCCCCCCGGGCTCTCCGGGCCCCTAGTCTTCCTGGAGGGCGCCTGGCCCCGCCGCTACCTCTAGAGGGGCCCCACCGGGCGCCGCCTCCCCGGTGCCGGGCGCTGCGCCCGCGCCCGCCTCCCCTCGTCTTGGACCCCGGGGGACCCCGCGCCGCGTCCCCCCTGCGCCGCCTAACCCCAGCTTTTACGCTGGTCTGGGGAGAGCAGCCACGCGGCCACCATCCCTGATCTGGACATCCCCAGGGGCCCGGCCAGCCCAGCCCGTAGCCCCGCGGCGCTGGGACCCGAGGGAGAAGGCGCCGGGGAACGAGCGCCCCCAGAGGCCGCCGCGGCGGCTGGGCTCGGGCTCGGGCTCGGCTCGGGCGCGGGCGCGGGCTCGGGCCCGGGCGCGGCGGGCGGGGCGGGCGGGGCGGGGCGGGGCGGGGTGGGTGTGCACCCGGGCCAGGGGTCGCTCAGCGGCTGTTGCGCTCTTTCCCTCCCCGGCGCGATCCGTCCGCCGCGCCCCGGGCTGCGCTCGGCGGAGACCCTCGAGGGCTCCCCCAAGGCCCGCGCCTGAGCCCTGCGTGCGACGCGCCCGCCCTCGCCCTCGCCCTCGCCCTCGCCCGGGGCTGGGGGCTTCTCGGGGCGTCCTGCGGAGGGCGGCCTGCTGCGGGGCCCTCCCGGGCTGCTGGCCCGAGGAAAGTGTCCCTGCTCCCTTCCACTCTCCCGGGCGCCTCGGCTCTCCAGAAAAGGCCGGCCTCCGTGTCCCCTGCCTGGTCTTCTCCCTGCCCCGGCGGCGCCAGGAGCGGGGCACTGCGGAGCCCCGGCTGCACCTCTCGGCGGGGTGACCGGGACTCGCTGCTCCGCGCGTCCTGCTCTCCGGGCTGCGAGCCCGCGGCGGCTGCGGGGCGGCGGGGCGGCGGGGCGGCGGCGCGGGCTGCGCTCCTCTCCCGGCTGCCCGGCCCTCCTCGGGCCGCGGGCGAACTTGGGCAGCGGCCGCGCGACGCCGGCGCGGCTGGGTTTCAAGCACCTGCTCCTCAGCTCGCGGCCCGCACGGCTCCGGGCGGGCGGGGCGGCGGCGGCGAGCGTGTGCGCTCCTGGAGACGCGGTGCTGACGCGCCCGGCTCCTCCTCGCTGCATTTTAATTCCCGGCCACTGTGGCCGCTGCACACCGAGCAGGGAGCCTCTCGCCGGAGCCGGCCGGGCGGGGGATGCGCTGCACAGATGTGCCAGAGGGTGCGGGCTGCGGGGAGAGATGGGGGGGGGGGTGGGAATCGTCGCGAAGCCATGTGTAGACAAGTGTGAGAACACCTCGGGCTGGGAGATGGGCTGCAGAGAGTGAGCTGCCGAGTAGTGTGGGCATGTGAACAAGTGTGTGAGGGGGGCGTCGCACAGAGTGTGGGTAGGTGTGTGTGCATGTGCTGAACGGGTATTTCTGTGCATCCCGTGCATGTGAGCTTATCTGCAGATGATGTACTGTGGCTACCTGAGTGGGTGTGGTGTGTGTAGGATAGGGTTCTGTGATGGTGTGTGTGTTCTCTGTGTGTGGGTGTGTGTGTGCACTGGGTGGTGGGTATGAATGGGTGTGTTGATGTGCAGATGCATAGCAGAGTTTCTGGATGTGGTGGGTGTGTTTTGCATGCGTGTCTGGGTGTGTGGTACGTGAGTTCAGGTGCTAGGAGTGGTGATTGGGCCTCTGGCAAGGTGGGCTCTGCCTCTTGGGAGCTTCCCAGGTGTGCAGCGCCCCCCACCCACCCCCCAGCCCCACCACCAAGGGTCTGCTGCTCAGCCCTAGAGCGCTCAGCCAGCACAGCTCTCCTAGGAGGGCAGCAGGGAGGAGTGTGGCTTCCCAGGACAGGAGGCTCCATCTCCGCCATTCACCTGTGAGCCTACAGTGTAAGGGCTCATGATGTCACACACACACACACCCCACCCCGGGCAGGCTCAGGGGCTCCCACTAACCCTCAGGCACCTTTGGATGATTTTATTTAGCCTTTGTAATATTCTACTTTGGTGTGTTTGGGACGATGGATGAAGCACATAGTGTACTGCTAGCTCCATGTCACAGGTGAGACTAGGGAGGACAAGTACGTGGCCAAAGTCATACAGCCTGCAAGCGACAGACTGGGATTCTGCACCCAGGTGCCCAAAGCCCTGGCTCTTTCTACCGCACCCCATAGCTTTACAGTTTGCACTGTGGGCCAGGCGCCTTGAGGGCGGAGCTGGAATCCTGCAGCTCTCGCAGCTACCTGGCAATGAATGTGTGCCACTCAGACCTCGGATTGACCCCCTGAAGCCTTAACGGAAGAAGTAATGCTTCAGCCCCATTATTCCATGGGATAGAGGGGTTTTCCAGAGAGTGGGTTTTGATGGGGGCTGTAGCGGGGTAGAGACAGTGTGAAAAAGATCCCAAAGGTGGGAGGGCACTTAGTGAAGTAGCGGGATTTGGGATTTGGGCCCGGAGAGGAATTTCACCTACTTTATGATGACTTCTTAGGGGTGCTTCTGGCAAATCTGTTGAATGAGCCCAGAGTGTCTGAGTGGTACTGGGTGGGCTTTCCCTCTTCATTGACCTGGAGGGCATTCTGTCAGCTTGACAGCTCCCTGCATTGGGTCTCTGGAGAAGAGGATATCTGAGCCCCACTCATCCTCACTCACCCCCGTACATAAACACACGTGCACCTGCCTCACACACGCATCACACACACACCTGGAGACTCGTCTCATTCACCAGCAGAAAAAGCTACTGAAGTGGTTTTTTCTATTTTGGATTCTGTTCCTTGAAGCTGTCTGTTGCTGGCTTTGGGGGGAAGGTTCTGAATCTGCCAGGTTTATGGGGTTTCTATCAGAGGCTCCCAGCCTGGTCCTAACGTTCCGTTCCTGTAAGTTGCCACAGTGATACGTATCCCAGCTAAGGTGGAGCTTGTGAGCTCAGCAGCGCAGTTGCTGAAGAGGCAGCCAGTGCAAGCACATCACATCTTCCAGAGTCCTAACTCTGGCCTGGCACAGAGATCTGTCTTAAAGAAACCTTTAGGATGTTCTATGTTTCTGATACCTTCAGGGCTGCGGGTTGTTTCTTTCCTGGCAGTTTCCCTCTTGAAATGTACACCTGCTGTTGTTGGTTGCCCAGATGTCTTCTGTGCCATGGGTTTTCCTGTTAATTCTCCAGATGGGTTGCTCTTCCAGAGAGGGGAGAGGTATCCTGAGTAGGCTCCAGGCTCTTGGCACAGAAATCCAGCAGGAGGCACAGGGTGGCTAGTGACCCTAGCAAAGATCAGTGGCACTCTCTATGGCGTACGTATGCAGTGAGTTCCCTACCCCCATGCACCCCCACCCCCCACCTGGACCAATACTTCCACCAGCTCAGCAAACTCCACTCTTTCTTCAAGCCCCAGCTTAAGCATCACCTCCCGGGAAATTGGAGCCATCATGGCCCTTGCAGTAGTACCTTTCAACTATGTATGTCCAGGGTATTCTTTTGGACATGAACCCTTTGAGGACAGAGACTACACCTCACTCATGTTTGTGTCCCTCCCTCTTAGCACAGTGCCTGGCACACTGACAAAGCACCCTGAGACAGGAGGAGGGGAAAGGAACTAGGATTTCTTGAATATTTCTGTATGTCACACATTGAATTGGACATGTAAATGTATTTAATTTCTCACTCCAATCCCGCAACGGAGGAATTTTGGTTCTCTTTATATATTTGTGAACTAAGGGCTCAGAACTAAACTCTAACTCATTCCAAAGCCCAAGATTTTCCCTTTCCACCATGCTTCTTGCAAAAGTATAATAATAATAATAATAATAAACAGATAATAAAATAAATATAGGACTTCCTAAGCACTAGGGCCTGTTCTAAGTTACTTACACTAAAGACAAGTGTTCCAAGTATTTAATCCTCAAAAGATTGTATGAGGTGGATATTATTATTTTCTGTACTTCAAAGCAGAGGAATCCTTACCACATAGAGGTAGAGCTACTCACCCTAAGCCACACAGCTACTAAGCTGCAGAGCAGCCTTTGAATCCAAGCAGTCTGGCTCCAGCTCCCGTGGTCTCAAACCCTACCCCATATCATCTCTGCTCTATTGAATGACAGCAAATGAGAATTAGCTTTCCTGTCCTGGAAGACTCGCTTGGCCAGAAAAACAAATTCGCAAGGCAGCGCATGAGCTGACCCACATAACCTCTCCACCAAGAAATTAGAATTTAACATTGTGATTTGCCAATAATAAGCTTTCAAGAAAATCTTCCTTTTCTTGTTTATCTCCAAAACATCTGTTGCTCACACCTGGAATCCTGGCCTTTTCTTCTGTGCGATGTTTGTGTGCAGTGACAGCAAGGCCTCTACTTACTGGCCAGCCAGCCCACTTCCCAGGACGGGACTACCACCACTAATTATGAGCTCTTTCTCAAATCCAATGAGTTTGTTGGGAGGGGGAGGCCGATTTCAACCAGTGTGATTTTCTGGTTCTTATAATCCAATTTTCGGAGCTGATCCTTGTTGACTTAATCAGGCTTCACCGGAGCCCCCAACATTCCTGTTCACCCCTAATCCCTCCTACTCAGGGGTCAGGCATTGGAAAGTGTCTGAGGAGCCAGCTCGCCCTGCTCCTTACCTGCTGTAGGAATCCCTCCTACACACCCTTTTAGGAACTGTCCACTGGTAACTGGTTCTATTCTGGAACATCTGGCAGTGTTTGAAGCTCCTTCCTTTCGTCAAATTGGAATCTGTCGTTTTGTTCAT